CATTAGTAGATAAACTTTTAAATGTACTGTGTGTAAAGTTAAAAATTATCAGAATAGCTTTTTTTAAGACCTATCTAGACAATTAGATCAAAGTGGCTGTATGTGCTAGTTTAAAATTAATTTAATTTAAAACTAATTTACATTAGGTAATACTTGAATGCTTGGCTATTGTTTTAGAATGATATTAATTAATATAAACGTGTACGTGTACGCTAGAACAGTGTAGGTAGTCGTCATCGAAAATGGCCACTGCTAGTGTTCTAGTCGCGTGAAATACCATTAAATATAAAGGCACATACACAACACCTATATATAGGTATGTAGTTCACATCAGACCACGTTTCTTGGAAGAATTTAACAAATAAATGTAGCCGTATTTTCATTATAAATATTAACTTTGTACTTACAAATATTATGGACAAAACACTTGTAAACTTGTAAACTTGTTTTTCCATTTATAGGTACTTTTGTTTACGAGATATCTAATTATTTACCTTATCAACGGACACAAAGTAAGTACTTTACTGTATTGTGCCTATCTTTTATATGAGTATGCGTACTTTTGAAGTGATGAAATTTTTGTCCGTGTCAGTTTGTTGCTATCGATCTATGGCGTAGGTACTAACAACTTCTAAGTACTTTAATTTTTTGCCTAACTATAATTGGGGCAAAGATTTCAGAGACATACTTTCCTACTGGCTACGTTGGTCGAATGATCGCCAGTGAGTTAACTGAGTTTGGGTCGAGCAAGTGTAGTGTTGTCGACAGTAACATAGATTCTGGAATTGTACAATAGGCTTTTTATTTCATAGACGGGAAACGAGCAGACGCATTACCTGATGTTAAGCAATAAACGCCGACCAGGGACACTCGATGGAGTTAGTACAAGTGCATTGCCGGCGTTTTGTAAGGTATTAGGGATTTGAGGATTGAGTATGGGAGGGAATGGATCGGGCCTCCGGTAACCTCGCTCACAAAACGAAACCCAACTTCAAGTAAGTATTGCTTCGCGCCGGTTTTGTGAAGCCGTGGTATAACTCCGTTTGAGTCATTACGTCGGTTCGAAGCACGGCTCTTCCAGACTTTAAGACAAGGCTATATGAAAAATATATATATTTAGTGAGAATTGTATGTTAAATAGTACCTATACTTACGTGCTGTGATCTCTACCAAAACCCCTTGATAAAAAACAACGTTACGTAATGATATAGCTAGGTACTTTAGCCTGTCTATGGACTCTTGGACAAACCCAAAATAAATATGCTGATGTTGGTTTGGTATTATTCCAAAGAGGTTGCATAATACTTATTTGAGAGCACCAGTCGTGTCTTTAGGAAATGCATTACAGTAAGTAGCGAGTTGGGAAAACCTGGCCACTTTCACACGATGATGTCAAGTTATAGTGTGAAAGTAGGTCTCCAAAATATTAATGGGGATTTTTGAATTTCGAAATGAGGAAGAGGAGGACAACGATATTGAGTGTAAAGATAAAAAAAGAACGTTCATCACAATATATTCATGTTATATTGACTGCACGGTTGGCGAAAAGGTTGGGCAACTGACTGCTGCGCCACGTGTTGGGGTTTGATTCCCGCACGAAACAACTCTTTGTGTGATCCACAAATTGTTGTTCCGGGTCTGGGTGAAATGTATATCTGCAATGAAATTGTATGTTTGTAAACGCATCCCCGACATAGGATAAATTAAAACATAAACCTCATTTTGTAGGTACAATTAAAACAGACAGGATACCGTTTGTCGTTCGTTTTTCATTTATACGAACATGCATGAAACATAAAATCGGACAAAGATTTTTTTATGCAACAATCAGTACCTACTCCCTGTTTAGTTAGCGCAATGTGTGGTCTGGTCTGTGGGTATAAATAGGCTAAAAAACAGAAACAATCAAACTCTGGAGTCCTATAACTACGCATACTCTTAAGATAAGTTTGAAGGAATATGGAGTAGACTTTTTGGAAATTGACCTCGAATCGATTTAAGAATCGATATTTTTTTTCATCGTCATCCCTAATTGGTAGTCAAAACAAGAGCGTCTCGCACGAATTAGGAATCGCACTTTTACGACGACGAGACCAACAGCCAACGCATTCTGCAATCTGAGGTCAATAACCGAATCAGGAAAAATAATCAACCCAACATTTTTGTGGTATTTGATTCGCTAAAATTTTTGCGTGAAAAGATGTCATAAAATAACAAATTATATTCTTAAAAAGTCTAGTATCTACTTATTGACAGTGATATTTATGACCTCGATTTCAATTTTTGTGCAGACTTAAATTTTGGACTTTATACAAAAGTCAATAAACATGAGAATGTCATACATGAAGAGAAAGACAGATTAGAGGAGGTTTACTTTGTGTGTACATAAGGAAACATAGTATATATATGTGATCTGTCCATATTGACATAGAATAAGTATAATGTCTCAACACCATTCATTGCACCGGATTTTCCCGAAAGAATAGACAGACTTTTTGTGAAGAAGAGTAATTTTTGAGTCTACTGCTGAATCGGTACGTATATAGGTGGCGTGAAAAAACACTATCATTGGGTTTCAGGATTGTGGTAACCGGAGGAGCAATTTTCCTCATTCCCTTAAAACCCTTACAAAGATGGCAATGCGCCTTTAGATTTACGGATAAGGGGCTGGTAAGGGACGCTGATTGCATTGCTAACCATCAGGTAACTATCTATTAAAAAATCAATACCTCTTTTCCCACTTTTTAATATCACTACCACATTGGTCGAGTGATGGCACGTGCAAGGAACTGCTGTTCAAAAACACTTGGATCTGAATCTCTGTGCGGGCAAACCTTTTTGTAAAGTTTAGTAAAATAGCATAGACAGAGTAAGGAATAGTGTTTATAAGTATGTAACTTGTAAGAAAAAGGTTACCTCTGAAAATATATTCTATAAAATAACTAGCAAATTGAAACGATACAGGCAATCTTCGATCAAATATTTTTCTTCAGAATATATTATCGAAGGAAGCAGCTCAGAGATCTTCAGTGGCTGTTTTACCCGGTAAAGGTACACACATTTCATAAAATTATGTTCTATATTCAAATATATCCGGCATACAAGTAACTCGTAAATTGACTGTTGTGGCCAGACATTGCATCGGTAAACCATCTGAAGAATTACCTGATGGTAAGCAATCAGCGACGCTCATAGACACCCGCACCTCAACCAGAGAGAAGTTACGAGTAAATTGCCGACCTGTTGGGGATTAAGGATTTGGAGATATCACTGTGGTCAAGCCGATCAAGCCATTCGTGCCGATGCATGGCTCTCCCAACCCAATAGGTCACTCTTATCGAAAACAAAATGTGTTTTTTCTGAAAATCTAAGTAGATAGGTAAATTCCTCTTACTACTAATTACATAAGAGTTATTTAATTATAAAATAAATGTTTGTTATCACATTGTAAGTACGCATTTCATATCAAAAAGTAATGATAGCGCAGTCAGAGGTCATGATACGAAAGTAGGTACAATTTCTACAAAATATATTATAAATATACAGTATCTAATAATTTATGAGTATTTCAGGAATTGTTTATATATTGTGTATAACAGATATAAGTTATTGACGTGGTTAACAAGTGATGATACTACACTACCACGTGTTTAGAAAATGTTTTCAAAATTTCTACTTTATAATGACAACATGAAATGTTGGTCGACTCGACCGGAGTAATACCACGGCCTCACAGAAAACCGGCGTGAAACAACCACAGCGTTGTGTTTCGGCGTGTGAGTGTAGTTACTGGGTAGGCCCAATCCCTACACTTCTTCCCAATCCTTAAATATCCAAAATCCTAATCCCCAAAAGGCCGGCAACGCACTCTTAACTTTTTTGGTGTCCCATTTGTCCGTGGGCAGCGCCGATTGCGTACCATCAGGTAATCTCTAATCGTTTGCCCTCCTATCACGTAAAAAAAGACAGTCGAGTTAAACCATTCGTGCCGAAGCATAGCTCTTTTTCTGATAGACTCATTTCAAGTTGGCAAATATCGATTGTTTTAGTTAATAATATTATTATCTATATACATATAATAAAATCGTAGGAAAGTCAAAACTGTACATTGAATATATTTTTGAAATAATACTTGGGGCGTGATGTACAATCGATACTGAAGCCAAAAATATGGTTTTTAGAATTTTTGTCTGTTTGTCTGTTTGTCTGTTTGTCTGTATGTTTGTTACGGATAAACTCAAAAAGTACTGCATGGATTAAATTGAAATTTTGCATGAACATAACTGACAGGTCGGTTCATCACATAGGCTACATATTATCACGCTATCACCTACGGGGGATGAGTAATGAACCTTTATATCTGTAAACCTTACTGAAGCAGCATGTAGTGTTACCTCATACACATTTAAATTACGTTTGTAAGCAGGTTGTTTGACAGGACGTGCTATCACAAACCTAGACACAAAAAAAAATGAAATATAAAATAAAACATAGACTTATATTGGTAAAATTGTTGCTTCGGAATTCATACAATATTTTTGTGTATAATTATAAACATAGGTGTGATGAAGAACTAGCATTTTTTTTTATTCATATGCGGTTACGTTTTTTTCACGTTGAAAACGTATTCAGTCGTAATTGAGAAATTATTATTGTTTACCATATAAAAATGTTTCCATTTTCCTAACTAGATGGTGTTGGCGTCGAATTAGATCGCGCTATGGTTTCGTTCACAAAAAGTGATGTTATGAGTACCGATGTCGCCGCTTCAACCTATAAAAACGGGGGTTACCTGCGTTGTTTATAAGTTATCGAGATTCTCAAATTATTCTGTTTACTTCGTGTTAATTTGTCTTTTAGTAGTAAAAATACCCAGAAAGCAGTCTAATCTATCACAATCGTCATACCATTCGCGAAAAAGAAGGTTAGCTCGATCCCTTGAAACCGCAGAGACTCGAAGAAGAGAATGTAGTACGGCGCGCCAGTCGCGATTAGATACCATGCGCACTCAAAATGCATTGTCGTGGTCTCAGGAAAGTGCAGAAGCACATGAGATGCGGCTGTCAATTGACCGAGAGCGCCATGCTAAGTCGCGCGCGTCAGAGACGTTCACGCAGCGAGAGACGAGGTTATGTTTGCAGCGGAGCCGCGCTTCTTTTTCTCGGTCGATTGAAGACGATGAAGAACGGGAGACCCGCTTAAGAAGAGACCGCTCTCAGCATGCCCTGTCACGTTCTTTAGAGACAGATGAGCAGCGTGAAGAACGTCGTGCAGCTGCTCGGCAGCGGTACCACGAACTGCTTGGAGATGCGTCTACTCATCTATCACAAGAACGGGACAGAATTCAAGAGATTCGGGGAACTTGGTCGGACGAACAGCGTGCGGCACAAGTAGAACAAGATCGCCTGCGTCGTAACGTAAATCAGCTTTCAACATCTGATGAGGAATCCACGGTTTACGATATCGAAGAGCAACCATGGCTAAACAAAGAGGGAAGTGGATTTATGTACAATGTTGCGATTAACTACGCCGCTTATGGCAATATTGGTGCCTTAGAAGAAGTGTGTGCTCACTGCCAAGCACGCAAATGGAAAGGGGAGCCAAATGGGATGTGTTGTGCATCTGGTAAGGTCCGCTTGGACTCTATGCAGGACCCGCCAGACCTGTTAAGAGTCCTATTAAATGGCGAGCATCCAAAGTCCAGCCATTTTTTGAAAAACATTCGAGCTTATAATAGCGCCTTCCAGTTTGGTGCAAATCAAATCGTTGAAGCAGGATTCATGCTAACATTCAAGTGTTTGCTTCGCAATGACTATCAATAAGTCACAGGGACAGACACTGAAGGCTGCGGGTGTCGACCTAAGGACGAGCTGCTTCTCACACGGACAACTGTACGTCGCTTGCCCCCGCGTCACCAGTCCTGACTCTCTATACATTTTGGCTACTGAGAGCAAAACTACAAATGTAGTTTATAGAGAAATTGTATAATTGTGTTTCTTTAAATTCTGTTATTCGTGGGATGTAGGAATTAAACCATATTCAAAATTCACCTGCGCTATGAGAGGTACTCATGAGGTGAATTTATACTGCAGCGCCAACTGCAAGGGAATGTGATCTTAAAAGTTGCTCACTAAAAAACTACACTTAAAATGACGCAGGCATAGTATTTTTGGTACTTCACGGCGTCCGAGCGGATGAAGTCGCGGGCAACAGCTAGTTTATTTATAAAAACATTCTTATATAAACTAAACGCTTGTAAAATCGACCTTAATTTACAGATTTAGGATTGAGATTGGTCAGTTAGTGATGTCACCAACCATCCACTTTAAAGGCATGACATTACGTCATTAACAACATGTCTAAGTATAACTAAAATAATAATGGCGGCAAACATGCAAAATCTGCCTTAGCAACTAGATATGAACTTGTGAAGCGTTCTATATCAATATATAACACAAAGACAACGTTTTTACAAAACAAAGTAAAAGAAAATCAAGTGATATTTTGCAAACATTGTTTATCTTATTAATGTTTACGTAAATATAATAAGAATAATAATTTGTACCTATGTAGTTGTAGGATTTGCCTACTAACATTTTACATACATTATAGGCAACTCATTATAATATGTTATAGTGCATTAACATAAAGAGGTACATTCAACATATTATTGTCAAGACTAAGTAAATACCCGGGGGACACGGTGGAACATACGGTAAAGACAACCGGCCTTGGTCGAGGCCTAGGTGCGGATCGAGAGGAACTGGAATCCGTCTCCTATTTCAACAAATATTATGACTATTTTACAAGGTCGCAAAGAAGGCAAGTGAGCCAACTATTCTTTTCAGTAGGAGACACTCCGGGCGTAGGGCATCGAGATATGATCTATGGAAACCGTAAATGCGGGTCTGCGGACGCCAAGCAAGGGTAGCTTGTCATCCGACCAGAACAAGACCCAAACCACGGTAATATTTTATAATTACCAAACGTAAGGCGCATAGCGTGTCGCTCGCGCCTCAAATGACAACATACCACCACAGATGAGTTCCAACGAGGGTTGCGGGTCAAGCGCATATCATATATTATCATTCATCAAAAAAGCATAGGTATAGGTACGAAGAAAAACATAGTGCCACACACTTTTTACCAGTTACTTACGTTACTAGTCCCATAGCTATGCATCCTGCTCAGAAATTAAACTCCAATACACTTGCTCAGCAGTCGCACTTGCAATCACACGATGAACGAGGCAGTCAAATTAGTTAGTAGTTATAGAAGTAGAAGTGGGAGAGCCAAGCTTCGGCACGAATGGGTTGGCTCGACCGGAGTGATACCACGGCCACACAGATTACCGGCGTGAAACAACCACAGCGTTGTGTATCGCCGCGTGAGTGAGGTTACCGGAGGCCCAATCCTGTCCCTTCCCCTATCCCTTTCCGATTCTTATATCCGCAACCCTTATCCCCAAAAGGCCGGCAACGCAATCGTAACTCCTTTGGTGGTGCGGGTGTCCATGGGCGGCGCCGATTGTTTACCATCAGGGTATACGTCTGCTCGTTTGCCGACATATACCATAAAAAAATAAAAATTTTGTTTGTTAACTAGAATAAAAATTGATTTTATAAAGGCAATATGCAGAAAGTAGTTCGATTGTACCTCTCAAAGGATAATGGATGAAAATGTACGACGTTTCGTAACTCGCTTGTCATAACCCGTATTACGTGCCAAAAGATGCGATGATGTCAACTCGAGATTACCAAACACAGGCGATTTTATAAACCTGACCCTCTGTTTCTTTCTAGAGCATTTCCAATCATGGTTGAAAGAATAATGCCGAAAAATGTTTTAGGAAGTTTACATAATAGAATACAAGCGGCCTGCTCGTTTGTCTCCTATTCCAAAAAGAAAAACCTAAATACAATCACTATTACTATTATTACACTATTACACTATTAGTATTAAAATATTCCAGAACTTCAGAGAGATCTTAGCTAATAAGAAAGCTTTTAGGTAAGATATGAAACAATGAAACAATGAATTTATTTATGCAAAAGGGCCATAAAACGGCACTTTTAGACATTAAATTTAACTATATGACTTATATACAGATACGCTTATTGGAATAAGCCAGATAATATTGGGAACTTCTAGTCTTTTATCCCAAGAGGTTTAGAAATCCCGACTATAGGTAGGAGCGGAGTTCCCCAACACAGGCATAACTTGCTTATAGGGGGCTCCAAACATAAAAATTTGGATGTGTAAACTTTTGGAAACAATAAACCATTTTGTATATATATATTTTTTTTTTGTATTTTGTTGGTACAGCCAAAACGTCCTTATCGATCCATAGGACCACCACAGTTGTAGTCCTCTAGGGCCGATTTCTGGGGTCCAGGTTGTGGGTCCAAGCGCAACAATGCATGTGCTGCGGCTCCGAATACTGATACTCTTTCTCGCCCCACCCAGAACGGCTTATCCCGCTCCTGTTTGATGAATCCATCGAAAAAGCCAACATGTAGGTAAACCAGTCGTGTAAAAAAAACTATAGGTAAAGTGCGAATCTACACAGTCAAGTTAACCCATTACACAACAAACCCTAGCTAGCTAGCGTGCTGACTCAGCTTTAAAACAACGGAACCATTCAATTGTTGTTTGACTAAAACACTTCCCATACAATTTGTCGACCATCTCATTATTTATTTTGAATGATGGATGCATGAATTCATTTTTGTATATACCCAAAATTACGTAAGTAGGTAAGTGCTAATTTTAAGTAGAAATAATTTCAAAAAATAATTTGTCAACCATCTTTTTGATGTTGTATGGATTTCTTAAAAATTATTACCGACTTCAATACAAAAAACATAATATTACCCTAACCTGCAGGTGTTGGGGTTGCGGTGCAAGCGCGATAAGGTACCGCGGCCTCAATGTGGAGCAGGAGAAGGATCGAGTTGGTTTTTCTATACTAATAAGTATTATAAAGAGGTAAAATGTGTATGTTTGTATGTAGTGGGTAATCTTTGGAACCGCTGGTCGGATTTCCAAAATTCTTTCACTGTTAGACGCTACAATATTCCTGAGTGCTGTAGGCTATAAAACAACACGCTATGATTAAATGGAGCCGAGCAGCGGGTGAAACCGCGCGAGAGTAGCTAGTAATCAATAAAACTCTGACACTCCATCTCACCTCAACCTTGACGAGAGAAAGAATTTGGTGATTTCCTCTCTAAAAAAAATCTTAACCTAGCGATGATTTGGAGATGATTGTTATACCATGCCATTCGTTTTACGGTTGGTACCAAAACTTCCTTGGTGATCATCATCAGCACCTATAATGGGGGTTGCCTATACTCTAAATATCTCTGAATATATAATGAAGTGAGAGAGATGCGTTGTGCATCTCTCTCACTCGAACTCGAACGTGCCTACCTTAGTAGTTGGTAATAGGAAACACCTTGCTATTGTGTAACTAGAGAATTTCCTCACCGGAAAATCTTGAATAATTAATAAATTAATACCTACATCGATTGTAAGAAGCGATTTGTGCAATTGTAAAGTTCAGTCGGCAACAAAAAAATATGAAATTAACATTATATGTAGGTAGGTAAGCCTAAAGAATCGCAAAAAAAATACAAAAAGTACATCCATTTGTAGATTTGTTTGCAAACAATTGCGGTTTAGCGGTACCTACTAATACTAACGAATAGTTTCTTCTAACCTGTCTTTAGTTTAGATTTTTAGTTAGAATTTTGACACATTTTGGAGTAGAGCGTATGGTCGAAATTCCAAATTCTTTCTTACAAATGAATCCTTACTTTTAAGTTTTACCTAATGATCATTATCATTTAACTATTCAATGCCTCCTCGAGAAATCCTTCTTTGAGGAAAGGTTAAAACACAAGAGTTAATCGGACAACATTGAAATATAGACACGGAACGTTATTGATAAACAAACAACAATATGCACTACTTCCAAGAAAATTTAAATTCCTCTGTGAGCTCACGTAAATCGGGAAAATTCAAAATTAAATTCCTAATAATATCCCACCACAACAACAACGAATACTCAAAATAATTGTACAGCAAATAACTGTGAAGTTAAATTATAAGTAAACGGCATTACGTCAAACTTATTTCCTAAAAATAGTGTTCAACAAATATGCTTGCTTCCTCAAAATGTTCATACGCTGAGATACGCGTCGCGCCTCAGCGTCTATGTCAACATATTTAGCATGAACTGTCTGTAGCGAGCTCTGACGTACTTGGGCTCTGGGGATTTACAATAAGGCAAGACGCTTGTTTCTTCGCGTCTCGGGAAATACTATATTCATATAAAAACGGTTGTGCCACACCACAGAGCATCATTACACTCCAAGCTTACTTCAAGCAACGTTATCCCCGAATATTTAATTTCAAGTGCCGATAACCTTTGCTTGAAATAAATTATATTTACGTTTTCTTATTGTGGAATATTTAAAACAGTTATAAACTCAAAATGGATTACAAATTCGGTAAGCATGGTTTTTTTTCAAAATTTAATGTTGGTAAATTGGCGCCAAAACTGTACATATAAGTAGGTACCTACCTACCAACAAGTTTTTAATTTTTTTTGTCTATTGTTTTTACCTCTTTTAACTTTACTATTTACCTTTTTGGATACATTTTCTAATGATTAAGTACCTAAGTAGGTACATAATAATTGTGAAATGCTTTCTTTTTATTTTGAATGTGGACTTTCTTTTTTGTAATCAAGGAACAATGTATCCGTGCTTACCTCACAAACTTATGCGTTACAAACCCACATGAGTAGGTAGGTAACTATGTATAGTTAATACCTTCCATTCAAGTACACTTTCCCTTCTTCACACTCCGTGCACAAACTACAACGTACTATAAACACTGATGCATGTCACTGTAAAATTCGCGAAAATAGCTGTAGCTAAAACCTTTAGTTAAGGGTTTGTGTGGTCACATTTACAAACTAAAAAAAATTATGTCAATTGGTAATTTTCGCAGTTGATTTAATTTAAAAAAAAACTATCATTTCTTTAAAAAAACTGCCATCTTGCCCTTTTTTGAGAGGCGCTATTCACGACGACTTCTCTTCGTCCTGTGTTGAACTAGAGAAATTATCAGACTCAAGCTGAATAACAACCACCCCATGAAAATTACCTTGTAGGTTCATGCGGAAATATATTTTTTATAAAAAACTGTGTTATTGACATTTTTTAAGAGGCACTCATCGCCAAATCTCTTCTCTCGTCCTGGGTCGAAATAGACAAATTGTCAGACTCAAGCTGACTGACAACCACCCCGTTTCTTCTCCTGCTCCAGGCATTTTTTTTGTGAGGGGAAAATCATCAAATGACTTCTCCCGCCCAGGGCCGGGCGGGAGGTAGTGTCAGACTCTTACTGACTAAAAACCCCCCTGTTCCTTCTCCTGCTCTGGGCCGAGGTCGCGGTGCCTCATTGCGCTTACCCCGCAACCCCGGCCTCCTGCTCCAGGCTGGGGCAACGATTCATTTAAACTGCCTTCTTGACCTTTAAGCATCGTACTGATAGGTACACGATTGTCTTTTCATGAATGGAATAAACCAGCCAAGAATTACCTAATGTCTATATAGATATTTTCTTATGGACATGCTAAAATTCACACCGTTTTATTTAATCTCAGTATTTACTTATTTGGAACAAAGACATAGCGTGATTTCGCTATTCGAACAACTATGTCGATGTTTATTTGTGTAGGTTGTATAATTGAAATATTTAAGCATTAAGTTCGTCTAGACTTCAGACATTAAGGAAGGTCATTGCGAAATCGTTTTTTTTTTTGTTCGAAGCTTGTCTAGTAATTTATCGTGAAAAAAAATATGTTTCCTTATTTGACACTTTTCATGAAACTGTTTGTATCCGGTTCATAATTATCCAAACTTCCAAACTAACATTATACATGCGAAAGTAACTCTGTCTATCTGTATTTTCTTCACACAGTCATTATTCCACGCGAACAAAGTCGCGAGCAAAAGCTAGTCTATACTAATATTATAAAGAAGTAGGTAGGTTTGTATGTAGGGGGTAATCTTTAGAACCGCTGCTTGGCCGGATTCCCAAAATTCTTTCTCTGATAGATAGCTACAATGTGCCTGAATGCTATAGGCTATAAATTATACTTGATTAGTTTATTTTAAACAAGCTGGAGTAAGTTAAACAAGCTAGCAAATCCGCGGGCGGAAGCTAGTGTGTAAGATGTGATATATTTACTTCATTACGGAACATAAAATATAATATTTGTTTTTGTTTTAAAGTTGAGTTATCATTCGTTGAAAGGTCAAGGTGAAATAATTCAAGTTGTGTAACCATGCGCTTGTCAACTCTTTTTTTATTTGATTATGTCACAATCCGTTGTTTGAACTGTAAACAAATTTTATTTTAAATACATTATGGCCTTTTCAGCCAACAATGAAGCTACCCAGTACAATTACAAAACAAATCTACCGGAGCAAATGTTTCATTTAATTTAATTATCACACTATTATTGTTTCAGGAATAGCACTATTCATCAGCGCCTTCATCTGCACAGCCCAGGCCTTGCCTCCCTGCACGTGCACTAGGAACTACCTCCCCATTTGCGGATCAAACGGAGAGACGTACAGCAACCAATGTCTTCTAGACTGCGCAAGGTACAACACCCACCAGGACATCACCGTCGTCAAACAGGGACCTTGTGAGGGTGAACAGCAGGCTGTTGTGGTCGGAGAAACTTGCGTGTGCCCATTCAACTACCTTCCCGTGTGCGGTTCTGATGGCTCAACCTACCCCAACGAGTGCAGCCTGAACTGCAAGAAAGAGAACTTCCCAGGCCTTGCTCTGCGTCACGCTGGTCCCTGTGTCGAAGCCAATGAAGCTTCCCCCTGTGTCTGTACCAGGGAAAAGAAGCCAGTCTGTGGTAGCAACGGCAACACCTACGCTAACGACTGCCTCCTGAACTGCGCCACCATCAAGGACAACACCCTCAGCATTGCCCACTACGGCCCCTGTGAAGACAAAGTCAAGGTCGTTGACCACATCCAATTCTTCTAAGTCAACCAAATATCTTAGACGCTAAGTTTAGATAAGTACTGCCATAATATGATGGCAAGTATTGCTGCCATCATAAAAATACGCTTTTAAGTTATAAAAAGAAATTGCGAAGATCTGATGCTTTTGTCTCGTTTTTAAATTAAATTTTATCGTCACCTTGTGTTGTTTAATGCCTGTGTTTGTTGCTATTTATTAAATTGACTTTTTTTACATTCCACAAACGCCTTTTTTTACGAATACCACCTAACTAAACGATAACTTAAATGATAAAGTAGATAAGTAAGAAGAAATAAGGTTCTAACTGCCAAGCAGCACATTCATTCATTGATTTGACGATATACTTAACTTTAAATTTTTTTGGTTCATCATCATCATTAGCCTGATTTCGTCCACTGCTGGACATAGGCCTAACCAATTGCACGCCACTGAGCTCGATGTTGAGCTCTCGGACGCTCTGCAGATGACGTCAGTCCACCTAGCTGGAGGCCCTACACTACGTTTGCCTAGACGTGGTCTCCACTTTAGAAGACGCATATACCAACGGTCATCCCTTCTTCGAAAAATGTAACCTGCCCACTGCCACTTCAGCTAGTTAATCCTTTGGACTATATCGATAACTTTAGTTCTCTGTCGGATCAAATCGTTTCGCACACGATCCTTCAGACTGTACTAGTTACATAGTCCCATAGCAACTGCACCATAACAAATGACAATATGAGTTTGGTAAAAAAACCTCTGTCCTTTGCTTTCACCTACCCAGGTGCAAATTATAAAAAATATAAAATCAATTTACTTATTAACCCAACAAATGTTAATTAAACGCTGAACGTGTACAAATTAATCGCGTGAAAGCTACTCGTAATCATAATACTACTACTGGTACTCTTTGATAGCACAACGGAACTGACTTCTTGGCTTGTAACAGTAATGATATAGAAATTCTTAAATGTATTTAGCAGTGGGTGAGTTATTATAATCCAAACTTTTTTATTTAGACACTTAATGGTCAATGCCACTTGAAAACTTTTCAAACGATCTTCGGAGACTTTGTATCAAGCTTTTAACACCAGCGCCGCTCATGGACACCCACAACAACGGAAGAGTTACGAATGCGTTCCTGGCCTTTTTGGGGATTAGTATTTTGGGGGATTTAGGGATTGGGGGAGGAGAAGGATTGGGCCTCCAGTATCACACGGTGTAACACAACGCTGTGGTTGTTTCACACCTGTTTTCTGTGCAAATACTTAATTCTTAATGTAAAATAACAACAATAAATTGTCACAGATATAATCCTTACCGCATCAGTACTGATGGCGGCATTACCAGGGAGCAAAAGTTCTTGCACAAGTTTCGCTGCTCTGGCCGAGCCCTGCGGTTGCACCATCTCAAAAGAATCTTTTGACCCGCTGTGCGGTTCTGACGGCGCAACATACCTGAACCAATGCTTCTTAGAGTGCGAAAAAATGTTATCCAATATCGATATTAAAGTTCACCATAAAGGTATGTGCATATCTCAGTCGCGGTGTTCCTGTCACGCGAGGTACGAGCCCGTGTGTGCCACGAACGGAGTTACGTACTCCAACAATTGTGTCTTGACATGCAACAGCCGAAAGGACTCTTCTATCCGCATCCTTCATAATGGAGAATGCCAAAATGGCGGACAATCACGGTACTTATTTATAATGTCACTTACTTTTTTTGTGAAGGTAAAATCATCAAATCTCTTCTCTCACCCAGCTTGAGGGGAGTGGGCTTATCCTGGGTGACAGTCTATCGAAAAACCCTTCGTTCCTTCTCCTGCTCTAGGCCGAGGCCGCGATGCTTTATTGCGCTTGCCCCGTAATTTAGTAATTTAAGTTATTATATCTACAAGTGTGACTAATGGAGTACTTATCATTTATATCATTTGAGCTTTGTACCCACAGTTTGCAGCTATGGTAGGCATTTCATTTTCATTACCCTTGCAAAAATGATATTCCTTATTCCCTATGTCGTAATGCTCAAAATCTTCCAGCTCGTTTATTTCAAGTGTGTATCTGTATAGTCTAGATAACCCGCAAAAACATCGCTTTCACACCGCTCTAAATAATTACATTAAAAAAGGGCGTGGTTAACAAACATCCAAACATCGTAACTTTCGCATTTATAATATTAGTAAGAAGTAAGATAAGATAAGATAAACCTGTCGAATAAATCTGTGCAGATGGACTTATACACAAACTCCACAAAAGCTACAAAGTTCACAAAAAAGAGTTTGCGATTGCTCTCTCAACTCGATGGTTTATTACTTTCGATGCGGGGGCGCCACTAGTGACACATGCGTCTGCGCAACAAGTCAGCCAACCTCGGAACAACTAAAAAATATATGCAACAACAAGTACGTCCTGTAATATATTATATTTGTTATAGTTAAAATAATGATATTTTTCAATATTTTTAGTAATTAATTGGAAGTGGTTTACCCACATAATTGTTCATGATCTACTAGTTTCTAGCCACGACCGGGGTTAATAATCGTGTAGCGTGATTAACAAAAGCGTGTAGTGTACTAAATGTTTTACTATGGATCATGCTTGATAGTTATTAAGGTACTTGTATAATGTTGCCTTAATAAAAAAAGTTAAATTGTATCCGTTACAAAATGTTTGAAACTTCCGTTGATGCCGAGTTGATTGATGGATATTACTTAATATAACTTTTGAAAGTCATTCAAATGAAATAGCCAGAATTAATGGTCGTGCATTTGTGACCACAATTTTTTTCCCAATAGGTATTATTTTACTATTCTACTTTTTTTTGTTTCAATAGTTTATCGAGAACGTGTCAACGATTTAACATTCTGTTGGGTTTGGATTTCAGAAATTGTGATGATAAGCCACTATTTATTTATTTATTTTGCACTTACAGTAAAAATAACTACGCCCAGCCTTTAAAGGTAAATTATATCCAACCTACAAAACATTGCACATGCGCAGCAGTGCATAAGCCGGTTTGTGGAAACAACCACGTGACATATGCTAACATATGCGTGCTACACTGTTATGCTACGAAAGACTCTAGCATCCGATTCATGAAGATGGGTGATTGTTCCGGCGATGGCAACGGTCCACGGTAAGTTTTCTACGCTCTTGGTATACAAGGTATTTGGCTGATAGCAAATTCTGATAAAACCTACCAACAAAGTGGTAGTCAAAGTTCCAAGCGTTTCCGTCTTTTACCAGGTAAATTCGGAGAGTATACGGAAGAATTACATAAATATTGCCCCCTAGTCCTTTCCACCAGTCACTGTTACAAGGTAATATGTATATCACACGAAGCGCTTCGCCTCCAGTTTCTCATCAGGACCACTGGGGAGTGGAATTCTTCACCAGAGCCTGTGTTTTCTAAAAGATATAGTATAACTTGGGTGTCTTCAAGGCTCGAATGTTTGTCAAGACCGAGTGAATAGGTTACATATGAGTAGGCGTATGGATGATGCGCCATCGTACCTAATACGACTTATCGAGAGTTAAAAAGTCGAGATAGAGGTCCAGCACAGAAAAACACCATACCTGAACATTCAACATTCCTTCCTCGGTTACATAAAATCGGCTACAATACATAGACTAATTCGTTTCTATCCACATTCACAGTTTGGTATCGAGATTCGGCACCGGAGGCAAATGGAAAGACAAAACATTACTGCGCGTGCGACACTTCCGTGGGTAGAGCGAAATAACAAGCAACGAAAGTGTCTTGAGTAAATAAAGAATTAAAAAAATAACTTTAATTTGTGTATTTTTATGGAGTTTCATACCTTACACCTATTTCAGCGCTTCCATGTAAGTTTTATCTGGTTATATTCCCACTGCTCAGCTAGTATTAGTCGCAGCGTGATGTTTTGTAAGCTATAGATTTTTCCAATTTAAACCAATAGAATAGTTCAAAAGATTAGGGGGTCAACAAAGTATGAATAAGAGATATTTGAGTGAGCAAATCTGAAACAAGTACCTACATTATGTTAGTCTATTTAATTGCTTTAACACTCCCTTTTACAAGCTTATCGAGTTTGACAACATATAAGTAGCATGGATGTAATATTCCGTGATTAGAATGCTGATGAATTTTGAAGATGAATTTTGTTCAAGCGGTAGTCAACTAAATATAATGAAATATTCGTTATTTTCGTGTATACTATCCTGTGGAGCAGGACCAGCATGTCTCCTAAGTATTTTTGTCCTCAATAATGACAAAAATGCGCGTGATGTTTATACATAGGTATTCTAATTTTTTTTCTTTATCTATCAGACACCTTACAAAATAATTGTAAGCGTTTTTCATAAATATAAATAAAGTAACTTGGCACAGTCATAATTCTATTTAAACTTTTTAAAAAAAGAGGAAAGGGCCTAATATTGATCCTTGTGGTACGCCCATAAAATAAATGCTAGCGCTCTGTGAGTCGCAGTCAAATGCCTTCAACGGGTCACAAAATTTTTCAATATCGTCCTGTATCTTTTCCCACTAAGCAAAAACTGGCTTAATGAGATGCTCACCGACGTCAGTTGTGTATCGTCCCTTGGTGAACCCGTTGTTAGAATGTAAAATAGAATTTGAGCATAACAAACACAAGTAAAATATAGGCCAGTATAGTAAAATATATATTGGGTTCTGCACTATCGCCGGATTTATACAATGAAACTTTATTTATTTATATTAAAAAAGCTGGAGTTGATTCTAAGTCTTCCGTATGTTTTATTGGGATATTTTTGAAAAAAAAAATTTTTATTTAGTTCCTTTTTAATGAGTAAATATTTTCTCATACATAGTTCCTAGTAACTAACGGAAATACGAGTTCTGACACGTAGAAACGATATAATAAAACAATTTTAATATTACAAACATTTTTATAAACAAATAAATATCACATTAGTTACAAATCAAGGTTAGCCAATAATTCATCATCTTCATCATCGTCTAGGAAGGATCTGTCTACATCATCAACAGTAGTTTGATCGTTTGAGCTATTTTCATTTTCTTTCATACTATCTTTTCTAATATTTGTACCAGGAACGTAGTCGTTTTTGTTCTTCGTCATACAAGGAGAGAGGTACTGTGTTATGTTATTTTCTGAATCCTGAAACAAAATAAATTGATTCCCCTTTTATACAGGGTGGCATTTTGAACGAGGGATATATTCAAGGACCTGTTTCTGGTGCTCAAATAAAACAACTTTTTCCACGGGTATAGTAAGGAAGTCCCAACAAAAATTACTTTTAAGTATATGCAAAATGATTACTCAGCTATTGCGATTTGTATGAGAAAATTATAAATTGGATATTGGTCCCATAGAAAAAGTTATTGTAATCTCGCCCGTTTGGCACATCCTCTTTTTTCGATCTATGGAGACCTTACTCTCTGTTCCTTGAACTTATCATTTTATTACGAACGAACTTATGATTTGGATGTCTATGTCTGGATTATAAAAAATATGTTGCTTATATAAATCGAATCAAGTTTTGAAATAATGGAAAATACTTACTTGATGTTTTAACGTATTATCTTCAAACGTATCTTTACTTAATCCTACGTTGTTGAGTACCTGAAAAACATAATGTAAAAAATTAAATAGTAATTACTTATACCCAATACTCAATTACAATATTGCTTTTTTAAATGTATATATAATGTAAGTAAGTAAGTTTGGATTGGCTGATGCTACACAATATTGAACCCTGTCAAGCACAACATAGAATACTTATGGGAATACCTTGATGAGACATAGGGACGAAATTAATAGAAAATAATGACTTACATACTTGGATTAACTGAGAAAAGCTCTACTAGAATCGGCTTTTGGCAACCGCTATGACGCGCACGCTGCTCATGAATACGAGCCCCGCTGTGACTTGAAACTAGTAGAGCTTTTCTCAATTAATTCACATTAGAAAGTCGATATTTTCAATAAATACAAAATTAACCATATTATGTTCGGTGAATGAAACAATGTAATCTTATCGCGAAAAATGCTTAACATTATTCAATAAAATCAATTATTGTTAATTCGATTCGGGATTAGTAAAACAAAATTTAAGAATTAACACCTTAATTCTTATTACAATGTACACTAATTTAAGAAGAAATATAAGTATGTTTGTAACTTGTTGTTTAATTTTTTTTTTGTTTTTGCTCAAGACTTGTTTTCCTTAAAGTAATTCTTAAACTGTGTTAAGTTTTAATTCAAGCCTTTGTCTTTATTAGTGTAGGGTATGTACCTCGATCAAAAATAAATTATTTAAAGTTTTCAATACAATTAAATATGCAAAAATAATCGTACTTCACTAGTTAAATTAAAGAAAAAAGTTTGCTGTATAACCAAATAACATGATGACGTCACATTTCTGTTTGCTATACCAAATTCATAGAACAGACTCATTTTTGACATTTCAATAAATAAAAGTCTGTATTGAATTTGACGAGACCGTGGTGTCACTCATCGTCGTGCCGGCCCATTCGTGCCGAAGCTTGGCTCTCCCACACTTAAATACCCTGGATAACTCCCACATCAAATATCCCTGTTTTTAGACTTCATAAATAAGAGTACCGTAAAACGGGGTGGATAGAATTCAAGGGGTAAATAGATGTTGGCGAATTTTCCTAGTATCTATTCACCCCTCTTCAGTCTCTATTCCCCCCACTTCTGCCTTTATTCACCCTTCTTTTGTCTCTATTCACCCCTCGAATTCTATTTACCCCGTTATACCGTAGTACGTACATTGAGTTTGGTCTGCAGCATGGGCCAGATGAGGTCGTCGGCCGTACGCGGCGCCAGCAGGTACCGGACGGACACTCGCGCGCTCTGACCGATGCGGTGCGCACGCGACTCCGCTTGAGTCAGGATCTGGAATTATTATTATTTATTCATTTATGTAGCTTAATTAATAAATAAGTAAATAAAAATATTCTCTCAACTATATTACAACATCAGTACAAGAAATAAACACATCCGCAGATATTACTAATGGTCGAAGATTTTTGTGTAACTACAAAAAACTCGGCACACCTGAGTGATCCACGGCTTCACAGAAAAACGGCGTGAAACAACCACAGCGTTGTGTTTTGCCGTGTAAGTGAGGTAGGTGAGGGTAAATATGTTTTAAATAAATAAAGCGACACGCCCCGACTTTGCACAGTTTACACAGTGCTGATATTAAATTTCTCCTCGATTTAATGGATGTTGTAATACATATCTATAATCATTCTCTCCTTTAGTCACCCTATGTATTGAAAAAATAAACCGCATCAAAATCCGTTGCGTACTTTAAAAGTCTTAAACATACATAGGGAGGGACAGAGAAAACAACTTTGTATTTTTTTCCTTTGTAGTCATAATATTAAATGCGGACATACCCCGGGGTTCCAGTGTAGCTCTGCGAAGAGTACGAGGTTGGCTGCAGTGAGCGTGATACCGGAGTTGGCCGCCGTGATGGACAATACGGCGCATCTACAGGACGGGCTGTTCTGGAACGTGTCCACTAACTCCTGGATAGTCACATGAAAACATACAATTTATTAAAAAATCTTGGCTACACACTAGGATTCGGATAGAAGTATCGATATATGCACGTGCTTACGTATTTGTATGGTTATAAACGCACCCACGACGCAGGAAAAAAAACGCAAATGAAAAGCAAATTTTAAAATGTTATGCCTATCTACAATACAGTCTAGGTTTTATAAGCACCCAAGTATTACCTAGATATGTTAGTTATTGTCACATAAGCCATGATATTAAAAAGGAGGAAACGAATTAATCTTACCAGTATATATAAAATTCCCGCGTCACGACGGAAACGGCTTTACAGATTTTTAACAAATTTTATATGCATATCCAGTATTCAGTAGGTCTCTTTAAAAGTGTAAGTGTCGGAGAGCTAAGCTTCGGCACGAATGGGTCGGCTCGACCGGAGTGATACCACGGCCTCACAGAAAACCGGCGTGAAACAACTACAGCGTTGTGTTTCGCCGTGTGAGTGAGTATACCGGAGGCCAATCCTTCCCCCTCCCCTATCCCTTCCTAATCCTTAAATATCCGCAAGACTTATTAGAAAAACTCTTACTCCGTACATAACTCGTAACTCCTTTGGTATTGCAGATGTCCATGGGCGGCGCCATTGCTTACCATCAGGTAATCCGTCAGCTCGTTTGCAGACTTATCCAATAAAAAAAAACAGAATAAGATGGCGAGACTCACAGCCCTGGCGCCGGCGGGCGTGGATCCGACGATGCAGATGTATGAGACGGCGGCCTCGTCCAGCGTGAGGCAGACGGCGTCTATGACGGCGCGGTGGTGACCGAATACAAGGAACTTGCTCGCCGGCTCCGACGATACCAGCTCGCGGATGTATTTACTGCAGACATCAAACAATATTTTTTATGTGATAAAAAATACAAAAACATTATGAAACAACAGACGAGTTGCCAACCTTTTGGAGATTAGGGTTTTGGAAATTTTGGGTTTGGGTAGAGATTGAGGGTAGGGCAAGGATGGGCCCTCCGGTAACCTCACTTACACAGCGAAACCCAATGCTGTGGTTGTTTCACGCCGGTTTTCTGTGATTTAACATCCTCTTTGGTTATAACCATGTCACAAACTTCATTAAAGCCAGGATTGCCAGTGCAAGAGTAATAATTTATCGCGGTCACGGCTTGGAACAGAAGAAGAAACGGGAAACTTTTTAGTTAGAATTCCTACCCAGGAGGAGAGACTAAAACTCGGTTTCCGAAAGGCCGATCAATGTTAAAATTAATTTAATCTCTTGTCAAGTCATCTGATTGGTTTACTGAATTATCAACAACCAATCAGATGACTTGACAAGAGATTTAACAGGAGATTAGTTAATTTTAGCGTTGACAAGCCTTTCAGAAAACGGGTGTTAATTAAGCGATCATTTTTTAAAATGGAATCTGATGCCTTTAGTTCTGGGTGTTACTGGGTTTTTTATGGCTTGCTTATTTGATTGATTTTTTTTTTTAGAAAAAGCTTTGTTCCACTCTTGTGTTTTCTCCTGTGTCGTGCGTGATGCGTTTACAAACATACAATGTCACATACACAAGACACCCAGACCCGAAACAACAATTTTTGGATATTTAAGTAGATTAGTTATGTTTTTTATATGATTGGACGGCAAACGAGCAGACGGATTACCCCTAAGCAATCAGCGCCGCCCATGGACACCCGCAACTACGGAGGAAATAAGATTTTTTACCTAGGGTAAGATTTTTATCGTCAAGCAGTTACACTAGTAAGGCGTACAGTAAAATTATGTTTTCTCACGACACTTCACACAAGACAAGTCTAAAAGTAACATTTTATATCTGTATACTGACCATACAGCGGGTATCTTGACCTTGGCAGACTCGCTGAAGTATGTGATTAAAGCGGTCTGTTTATCTGAAGACTTGCTGGTCTTGTAAGCGTTCGCCATCTCCGATAAATTCTTCTCCGTATCCTGGCTGTAGTCCAACAGTGTTTGGTCTAGGAGAACTGTCTCTCTGTCAATTAAACAATGAAACAAATAATAAAATTTTGTTAAACAGAAAACACAATTTGACATGAATTATATTAGCAATACATTGGAAAATTATCAAAAGCACTATGGCTCTTTGAGGCCTCATCACATACCTGGTTTTCTCCTCAAGCTTAGTAAGCACCTGTTCCTTGGTCCGTCTGATGAGGAACCGCTTTTGCAGTATGATCTGCAGCTCAGTCAGGTTGGACTGGCCCGTCATATCCCAGCCAAAGTTCGTCTGTTTGCCGTCACAGTATCTTTTACCTGTAAATAGATTTCAACTTTATCGTCTTGAAATTAGGTCGCAAATCTATTGAATTTTGACTGCACGGTTGGCGCGGTGGCTAGGCAACTGGCTGCCGTGCAACGTGTCGCGGGTTCGATTCCCGCACGGAACAACTCTTTGTGTGATCCACAAATTGTTGTTCCGGGTCTGGGTGTCATGTGTGTATGTGAATTTGTATGTTTGTAAACGCACCCACGACACAGGAGAAAATCCTAGTGTGGGGCAAGGTTTTAAAAAAAAAAAAAATACTGTGTCAAGTAGGTTTTCTAGTGAGAAAATCCGAAAAATAAAGCCTGACTGCACTGAATATCTCTTTGAGTGATTCACAAATTGTTGTTCCGGGTCTGGGTGTGGTGACGTTTGTAAACAGATCCTAAAATATTAAAAAAATCAAGCGTGGGACAAAAAAGAAGTTTAGATGCCGATGGATGATAACTCGAACACAACGTTTGACGGTAAGCAATCAACGCCGCTTATGGACAACCGTAAAATTGAGAAGTTGCAACTGCATTGTCAACGTTTTTATTTGAAGATTGCGGGGTTTGGGGATTTGGGAATTGAGGTAGGGATTGTATGGATTGGGGATGGGGGAGGCGTTGTTTCGCTCTAATTTCATTTGAACCGACAGTATCACTCCAGTAGAGTCGTAACATTAATGTCGAAGTAAGGCTCTCTTACGTAAAAAACTATATCTGTTAATCTTACCATAATCAGTATAAGAAGTGAAGAACCCAGGTTCTATCAGTGATAGCTGAGTGTATAACTCAGCGGGTCTGCTGAGCGCGGGCGTGCCACTGAGGAGCACTGCGCGTGCGCACTGCCGCGTTATACTGCGCAGTGCCATCGTACATTGCGCCTTGTGGGACTTCAGGTAATGAGATTCATCCTGTAATGTTCAAAATATGAATTAAGTTATACACTTTATGGAGAAAAGATATATTGATGGAGGCAATTCTTTAGGCATTGTATCCCAATCTAGTTTTGCGTGGTTCAAAGATAAGGTGAGAAGGTAAGAGAAGAGAAAGTCAGAAGAGAAGGAAGGTAATTTGCTTAAACTGAAAGTCTATAACTTTCAAATCTGGTCTTCAGTCTAGTTAAAAAAAATAATGGCTGATGAAAATTATGTGCCAAGTTCTATTTAAAAATAGAATCAGGATTCTTCGTTCAACCTAGATGGTTTTCTCTCAGAAAAAGATACGGTACCCAAGACTCCCATCGGATAGAATTTTGTTTCGTGCCGTTTGTGCATTTTGAATTCTCAGTCAGTGTAAGATCCATCATCGAAATAGTAGTACGTTCCTCAGAAGGCTATTGAACTACGCGTGATATCGAAACAATAAATTTACCTAGTTATGCAATGATAGTTGTCGCAAACTTGTGGTTTTTGAGGGTGTAAAATCATCAAATGTCTTCTGACTCTTGCTGACTAAAAACTACCTGAATCCATCTCCTACTACGGACTGGGGCGGCGGTACATTTTTTAAAATAAAAATTATCACCACTTAAAGATTTTCACCTGTGCCGTGGTTGCGTTTACCAATATACAATTTCACAGACAGACTTCAAACCCAGACCCGGAACAACAATTTGTAGATCACACAAAAAGTTGTTCCGTGTGGGAATCGAACCCGCGACACGTTGCACGGCAACCGGTTACCCAGCCACCGCGTAAAAAGTTTTATTGGGATTGTAACCAAAAAATTTGATTGATTGGAAATGAACATCCCTGTACCAACGTGTGTATACAGGAATGCAATCAATGAAAATGTCAATGTCAATGAAAATCGTGTAAATACTTACTTTACGTAAGTATTGATTATAAAATATAAGTGTCCTTGAATAATGTAAGTGTGCAGCAAGTAGTTTATATTTCCAAGGCTGTCTCCTATCATGCAAAATGCATTGATAATATTATTATACTTATACGAGTAGGATTTTATGATAAGAACGATAGCATCACCTACCTTACTTAATTATTTTAATGAAATGTTTCTACATATTTTTTTTTTAATAAAACATTGTAACCTTTCATCAACTTCATAAAAGTTCGCGATAAACTCATTTAGTTCATACAAATAATATTCTACATTCAAATGTATCCGGATAAGTCCCAAATTCGTTCTATATTTGAATTTAAATTGTTGCCATAATGCAAAATATAAATACTGCATGAAAACTATTTATATTAATATTAATTTTGTAATACAGTTTAGTAATAGATACTTACTATGATAACAACTCCAAACTTCTTGCTCTTAAGTAGATCTGTGTACATGCTGGTGATCTTATAACTCACTATCACCACTTCTGTCTGAAATATAATTTAATATACTATAAATAAATGCCAATTTTCGTTGTAATTTTATGACCGACAGCGACCCGCAACGACTTCGCACGGGTGCTGATACTACAGTTCTCTACTATGGATGTTATTTTTTTTTTAAACGCAGCCTGATTTCGTTAAGGTTAACAATCAGCGCCGCCCATGGACCGCACCCGCATCACCCCTCGCCGCACAGCGCTCCGCCGCGCATCTCGTCACGATAACTCATAAGAAGGTAGGCGGCCGCTATCGCGTCTGCCGAGGGTATGTTGGATTTGATTCCCAACAACAGCGGAGTTACGAGTATGTTGCCGACCTTTTCGGGATTAAGGATTTGGATATTTTGGGATTGGGAAACGATTGGGCCTCCGGTAACCTCACTAGCGAGGAAACAAAGCTGTGGTCCACTCAACACTCCAGTCGAGCTAACCCATTTGCGTCGAAGCACAGCTCTGTCACACCTAAATTATGATATGTAAACTCTTCAATCGAAAGTTCAAAGTTCAAGGACCAAAATCTTTCATTAAATTAGGGGTGTGTTTAACTAACCGTAAGCTGCGACGTACGCCACGTCGTTTCTCGCACAATGCTACTCATGAATATGAGCCCCTAGTGTGACTTGAAACTAGTCAATATCCTCGTCATACAGTTATGTGGTACTTTGATCATGTGTGCATGTTATATTTTTAACGAGTAAAGGACAGATGTTAAGTGAAATATTTAAAAATTTAATATTAATTACTATACAGACCTGTTTATCTGCAATCAGTTGAGTTTCCTTTCCACTGGTGAGTGTGACAACATTCATCATGGGAACTGATGGCAGCAACTCCTGTATCTTGGACTGCCATGTATACCTGAAATCGCCATTTATAACAACAATAGTACAGGGTCTTTATCATGTTTGGTATTTTTTACATAAAAATTGGGGATAAAATATGATTATTTCATCTTTTGCTGTGTCCAATTTCTTCACATATTTACTGATTAAATTAAACAAGTAATATAATATGTCAAAAAATATATTAATAACCTGTTTCATACAATCTACCTACCTATAATAATATGAAAATGAAACCCAATTTGTCTTAGTCATGGTTTTAAGTTTAAAATGGCTAGACTATTTTGTGATAATTCTTTTAATGCAATAATAAAAGTACATTTTAAAAAAGTATAGAAAAAAAATCGGGGTACAGGAACAATATTGGTGCTATAGACCATTGCTAAAAAAAAATAAAAGATGGACACCAAGCTAGTTAGACCTCTAAGCAAAACAGCAGTGGGCAAATAGATCTTAATAATAAGAGATGTTCTCCTCCTTGAACCTTACCTCATTGAAGACGTGGTAACTATGAGAAGTGGCCAGTTATGTCTGTAGTAACTGGCAATGGCAAGCGCCTGGAAGGTCTTACCCAGACCCATGTCATCTGCTATCATGCAGCGACCTCTTCGCGATATACCAAACCTATTAAATAAATAACCTATGTCAATACAAAAATAGCCATTGCCAACATCTTACCAATTTTATAAATGCGAAAGTTACAATGTTTGGATGTCTGTTACTCAATCACACCAAAACAGCTTGATAAATCTGGATGAAATTTGGGACAGGCATAAGATACACTCCAGAATAGGACATAGGCTACTTTTTATCAACCTTCCCACGCGTAAGAAGCCACGGGCAGAAGCTAGTCTTGAATTAAAATTGACTGTCAGTTGGTTTGTCAGTGTAATTAGGGGCTTGTTCCAAAATGTAGATTCTTATGGAAAAACTTTCCTTAAATTTGAACAACTTACTTTACTCCTTCCACCTGGAAGGGCATGAGTTTGTGTCTTAAGGTGACCTCAATGGGGGTCAAGTCCACACAACTGGGATCCATGGCATCCTCTTTCAGCACCTACATGTTTATAAGATTAACAATAAAATGTCATTGGAAAAGAATAGAAATAGAGAAACAATATTTTTTATGTAAAAATGAATATTTTGTGTGTAATGATACAAAAAGGTTGGCTTTGTTTTAGTTGCTATTTTTTCACACAAATAATAATGTTGTGCATAAAAAAATAAAAGAGAAGAAAAAGTGAGTTTATTTACCTTTAGAACATATGGTGGGATTGGGCCTAACACTACATGAGGTGCCAATGGAGCCACCTTGGACATCAGCTGTTGGTAATCATTGATTGAAAAATTCCACAACTTTGATTTTGAATCTGAAATATTTAATATTATTTAAAAATACAATCCCAATAAGAATGAGTAACAAGTTTACAAAAAAAAAAATATGTTTTATTGGAAGCTTAACACTTATAGATTCATTACAGGATATGAATTATTAATGAAGGACTTACCATAACTTTTAGATGGCAAACTCTTGAATATATTAATGAGGGGTGTACAAAACTCTGATGGGTTCACTTCAAACCTGTCTTCCGAGATCAGGTACACAGTTCCAGTGACTACTTTGCCTATAGGAACTTTATTTTCTTGAACACCTTCAGGACCTTTAGGCTTAGCATAAGGATGACTTCTATTTAAACTACTAGCAAAAGATTTAAAAACACTATTTGACGATGAGGGTAGCGGACTCCCGCCTTGGACAGGGTTTGTTTTCACAGGAGTATTTCGGTTAGCAAGTAAATTTTGCCGTTTCTGAAGCGCAGCCAACCGTTTTCTCTCGATTTCTTCCTTGGAACACGACATTTTTTTAATTCAATCGAGTTTTTACTTTTCACATAAGTTAGAATTACTGTCCGGCTAATGTATATGCCTTTTAAGTAAAGCAAATCGAACCAACATGCTGACTTCCACACAAAACATAACTTCACTATTGTGTTGATAACATGTTGAATGTTGTTGACTGACAGAGTGACAAGTTGACAACTGCCATCAATGTCAAGTTTTCAAAATGATGTCAATCTCAGAAGACCTAAAATCCTATAAAATAAAATAATATAAACTGGAACTACAATGATAAATTAAATTATGGTATAAATGTATTTTTTATGCTTGTGACTGTACTATTGATTGAAACTAAAATTAGAAAATGTGATATTCTTAAATCCAACTACCGACATATTTTACAATCAGTGCGAGGGAGTGAACTGGAACGCAGCGCAATTTTGGACTTTGACATGAGACAACACAGACGATTTGTTGATTAAAATTAATTTAGTGTTTCGACTAAGAACCAGTTTCCTAAGGTTATAAATCCTTTCACCTCCGAACGAACAAACGAAACGAAAATGTCGGAAAACAGTAGCCCAATTAAGTATTTTCTAAGTGGTGGATTTGGTGGTGTTTGCACTGTTTTAGCGGGCCATCCAATGGACACTGTAAAAGTGAGACTACAGACTATGCCAGTGCCTCAATCCGGAGAGATTGCCATGTACGCTGGCACATATGACTGCTTCAAAAAGACCATACAAAAAGAAGGATTTCGAGGGCTGTACAAGGGTATGTCAGCACCCTTAACTGGGGTAGCCCCAATTTTTGCTATTAGTTTCTTTGGTTTCGGACTTGGGAAGAAACTAATAAAAAGAGACGATGAACAAGTTTTGTCAAAACCGGAGCTGTTTGCTGCTGGTGCTTTCTCTGGTATTTTCACTACTTCCATAATGGCACCAGGGGAGCGCATCAAATGTCTACTTCAGATTCAACAGGGTGGCAATATGCCACAAAAATACACAGGCATGGTTGACTGTGCCAGGCAGCTTTATGCAGAGGGTGGTATGAGGAGTATATACAAGGGCAGTGTGGCCACCATACTTAGAGATGTGCCAGCCAGTGGTATGTACTTCATGACTTATGAATGGGTTAAAGAAGTACTGGTCCCTCAAGATGCCAGTGCTAAGCTTAAGATGATGGCAACAATTGTTGCTGGTGGTTGTGCTGGAATAGCTAACTGGCTGGTAGGCATGCCGGCTGATGTATTGAAGAGCAGATTGCAAACAGCTCCTGAAGGAACATATCCTAATGGCATGAGGGATGTATTCAAACAGTTGATGGAAAGGGAAGGTCCAACTGCCCTATACAAGGGAGTGACCCCTGTCATGCTCAGAGCTTTCCCTGCCAATGCAGCATGTTTTGTAGGATTTGAACTTGCTGTGAACTTCCTCAACTGGGTGGCCCCTAACCTTTGATACCTGTCAAAAAATGTTTTAGAGCAAAATAATATTGTATCATAGTTAGTTATAAGTGAAAGTAGTTGAAGTTATAAGTCATAAACATGAACTATTAAATTATAAATGAATATATTTTTATTAAAATCACAAAAAAGTTCTTGAGCAAGTAAAAGAATTTAATTCATGACATAGTTTTATGCTTATTTAAATGCAGTTTTGCACAAAGCCAATATGATGCCTCATCTAAAATGTATTATATTTTATAAGTATTACTGGTTGTTAAATATCTGTGAAGATTATGTGCAATGCCTCTCAAAGCAGGAAATAAATATATTTTTTCAAGCAATCATTTTTTAATTTATTTACTATAATCTATTCTTTACTATCTGAAGTTGGGATGGGATGGTTTTTTATTATCATTAATATTATTTGACTACAACTTTATCATTACAATTTATAATTTGTTAGACAATTGTAAAAGTGGTAACAGTATGAGATAAATGAATTAACAATGGTAAGGGTTACTCATAAAAATATGTAAGATTATGAGTTATCTTATCAACCTTACTAAACAGGTTTATAGTATATTTTAAATGTCAAGCTCATAACTTTTATTGTACATAAATATTTGTTATAATACATATACTATTGTTATCTATACCATAAAAGAAAATAAAACAAAATGTTTCAGTAGAATTCTCGTCTAAACTTTATTTCGAATGATTTGTCACTCCGATGGTCTCTTGCCAACTTCATTCTATTTTTATGTTTAACATTGTCTTGTGTTTTGTTGTCTATAGGTTTTTGTTTGGCATGTCCAAGGCCTTTCCTGTCCTTCTTTTGTACAGTTTTAATAGGATAAAGTTTACCAGATCCATCTCTGCCCAGACCAGACTGTTTATCCCAACCACCTCTGAGCATCAACTGATAACCTCTGTTAGTTTCTGGTAATACATAACATGCTGGTATTTTCTTCCCTCTACTAGCAGTAATATTGTGTATTGTTGATGACAAATGTTCTTCTTTATCAGGAAATGTTTTATTACACAACTCACAAATAAATTCTTCTTTTAATTTAACTGTTACTGATGTTTGTTTTGTGTTTGGCTTTGGTGGAGCATCTTTCTGTATGTATCTTAATAAGATATCAGCTAATATATAATTTTTATTCTTAATTACTAGACTTCGAGCAGAATTGCCAGCTTTATCTCTTACAGACATGTCTATACCTCTTTTTAACAATAGCTTTACAACATCTACGGAGTTTGCTTGGCAAGCAATCATTAATAAACTCCAACCAAACTCATCCACAATATTTAACTTATCAGGGTATCTGTCTAATTCACATTTAACTCTGTCAACATCATTATTCTGAATTGTAATAAATAAGTCTTTGTTTGATAGTGGTGTTTTCTCTTCTGTTATAACCTTTTTCTTTTTTTCAACACCCTGTGTCTTGAGCCTGTTTGGCGCCTTTGCGTGTTTTATTTCTTCAAGGTATAGCTTTCTTGCTTCTTCTCCACTTAATACACTTTTATCTGGGATAATATTTATGTCTTCTTCAGGTAAACTGGCTTTCACGAAATTACTATAGATTTTATCACTCATTGTTGTTGTTATTAAAATATTTTAATTTTTGTACCTAACCTTGAAATATAGTAAATATAGCGAAAGCACAGTTTGGTTACTCGGCCTCTACCCCAAATTCATAAAGTAGACGTAAGTTTAAAAAATTACAAAACAGGAGAAGAGAACAGTGACAGTATGTTGACGAAATTGTATTGTTGACTGATTTACACTGATTTACATCATTGACAATGACACTAATGACAATTACGTTGTCATTTTTGGTAGAGCAGGACAACAAATACAGTTTTGTGCATGTGGGAAAAGGATAACGAACTTAGTATTATGCTCAATTTGATAATTTTATTACGGTCCATACCTGTAACTTTTCGAAATGTTGCCAACGCGTAGGTATTTATTTCGTTATAGATTTTATTTTATTCCATATAAAAACAAAAATAAAATTATTTATTACTTATTGTAATGAAGTTTATTTTACTTTAAATGATTTAGCAATGTATGAAGAATTACGTGCCGCATGTGCTTAAATAAACGCATAATTTTAAGAATGTTCCTCAGGGGTCTTTTCTTTCTGCAACTCTATTCCTGCTCCACATTAACGATCTGCTAGTCCCTGGTATCTTTGGGTATGCAGATGATAGCACAGTTGTAGAGAGATACCTGCCCAGTGCTCGGGCTAGTAAGGAGCTAATCCAGTCTGAAAGGGAGGCTATGGTAGAGCGTACGAATGTCTCACGGCAGTTTCCAAGTGGGACAGAGCTAATCTGGTAGCATTCAACGCCACCGAAACACAGGCGTGTCTATTCACCGCCAAAAGGAGCCTGTTCACCTTGGCTCCTGCTTTTCGGGATGTATCGCTGGTGTGCACCGACCGCCTTTAGCTCTTGGGAATGGAAATTGCTTCAGACAACTTTGGGCGGTTCAATGAGTTCATGGCCCTGGCCTGGCCATGGACTAGAAAACTGCTGCTAGCTGCTAGAAAACTCGGCGTTCTTGCAAAAGTACGACGGTACTTCACACCGAGTCAGCTTCTATTGTTGTACACAGTACAAAGCACAGGTCCGATCGTGTGCGGAGTACTGCAGCCACATATGGGTTGGTGCTGCAAAATGCCACCTAGCGGCTTTGGATTCAGTGGAAAGAGGCTGATTGGTGATCCAGATTTGGTTGGGCCAAATCTTCAAGGTCCCGAGCACAGGCGCAGAGTAGCCAGCCTTGCGGCTTTCTACAGGATGAATTTTGGAGAGGGTGCGCAGGAATTGCACGATTTGATTCCGCCATCCCAATTTCACCATCGGATATCCCGGCATACGGCAAATATCCACCCTTACGTTGTTGAGACACCTGCGGCCCGGACTAAGCGTTTTGCCTCGTCTATACCGAGTACATCGAGGGATCGTTTAGGTGTCTTCAAGGCTAGAGGGCTCTTAATAAACTAGTGCACCTTACCATCAACGATTGCATCATCATCATCAGCCTATAAGTGCCCACTGCTGAGCAAAGGCCTCTTCTCACACGGAGAAGGTTTGAGCATTAATCACCACGCTTGCTCAATGCGGGTTGGCGATTTCAAACTTACAATTAGAAATTATAAGTCCAGGTTTCCTCACGATGTTTACCTTCACCGTATGTCAGTGGTGTCTAAATAATCATAGAAAGTACATATAACTCGGAAAAAGTCACATTGGTACTTGCCAGGTTTCGAACTCACACTCTCATGCATGAGAAGCGGGCTCCTTAACCTCCAGGCCACCACGACACGATTGCTACGATTGCATCACTGCTTACCATCAGGTGGGATCGCAGTCAAGCATTAGTTTATAGCAAGTAAAAAAAGCTCGTAGCTGGGTAATGTATAAGACCTACTGCCTATAAACAATATGTACCTTAAACCACTTTGTATATATAAGCTGTAAGCCTACCTTATTATAATAAATAAAGGTCTTTCTGTGTGATGGGGTCCAACCGGGCCGATGTTTAGCCCGGGTTGCCGGTCAAGCGCAGTAAGGAACCTTGGCCTCGGTCTGGAACAGGAAAAGGAGGAACGGGGGCGGGAGGTTAGGGAGTCACAGTCTGACGCTCCCTCTTCCTTTATCCATGGCGAGAGAAGTGATTTAATGATTTGCCCTCCTTAAAAAAGGAGGACAACATTTTCATTATACAAAAACACTTAATCTGTGTAATGAAAATCGTCGAGTGTATCTGGCATGAGTACCTAGCAATAAAACGAGTAACTGTTAATTACAATTTTAAGTGTAAAAGTTAATTAATTTGGGTTATATTATTATTAAGGGAGCGACTGACTGTAAGTGACGAAAACTCAACACAATAGTACCTATCTTACAAACATTAATTTGAGTTCTTCGTTGAAATTCTTCTTCTAAGCTATAAAATCAATTTTCTGTAGTCGTAGGTACGTTCACATTAATACAAATACCAACACATAAACATGACATCCAGAGCAGCTGTGTGCGATGCGGGAATGGACTAGCGACTTGTCGCTCCATAACCGTTTGCATAGCCACTGCGCTACTTGTGCAGTCAATTTTGCTATAGTAGGTACCTATATACTGACTCTTATATGATATAAATAGTATGTGCATTCTGATGCTCATATCTGCTGAAAACATTTTGCCCAACTCGACACCGCTTGCTCCACGGTCAAGTTTGTGACTTTTCGATCAGATATAAATCAAATACTCATTAAATTCCCTATCTGTTTTAAATGAAGATATTCCTTTGAGAACGTGATACTCGCTAGATACTTCATTAGTCATTGGTGCAGTTATAATTACCCGTTGATCGGTGGTGGATATAAAAGTCAGTTTAATTTAGATGCACTGTAATGCAACCCACGACCTTGCATGATGAGGCCACTGGGCCCGCGGTGTCCCTGCCAAGCGTATAGCGGGTTGTCCACGGCGTTGCGTAGATATTTAGGGTGTCGTTGGTGACGTGGTCGTCTTGTAATATTGTTTTATTTCGTTGGTTTATTCGGAGCGGAGAGGCGCGGGCGGCGGCCGTCAGTTGAGTCGCGACCGCCGCCGCGCCACTATAACCCGGCTATTACAAACCCGGGCAACGACACCAACACCTAACACATTAACAGTTCATCACTCAAAATGGCCTATTCGTGGGACAACAGAGTTGCTTTTGTTGTGCGATTCCTCTACGGTGAGTGTTTGTAGTGATTAACAGCGTGTGCTTGTTCTAGAATTTCTAGGCGTTGGAAAACTTTACATACCAAGGTATTACAGATTTGTTATTTTGTATGCTGTGTTATAGAATTTGAGAGAAGCTGGCTTCCACAATTTACTAAACTAGACTCGAGCTAGTTAGTCTACTAGCTAGGTACCTACCATCCACTTCCCATGTATTGTTTTAATTAAATTCAAATCAAAAAGCTTTATGAGTAATTTAAATCAATTATTAGTACCTATATAGTTTAACAATTTAGCTCTAATTTCAGCAAAAAATAAGCAAACATTTAGTTAAGTATAAAAACATTAATAAATAATTCAGAAAGTAAAAAAAACATACTCATACACAGATTTTATAGCACTCAACGTCATCTACGTAGGAACGTCTAGATACATAAACGATGTTCCAAACAATAGGTACCTGGTCGTTTGTTTTGTATCGTTGGACTTGACCCAGCTTTGTGTCTTTATTTTTAAAAACCATTTATCTTCTTTCTGAAGCAATAATATTTTACGATAGGTACAAGTTTACAATGTTAAATCTGAATAACAGTTTTTGGACACTGATTCATTCATAACAGTAGCAATAAGACAGCAATTTGCAGATCCATTAATTCTTTTAATGATGCTTGCATTTCAACATTCTGCCTGGTTGGTATAAACATTAAACACTGGATAAATGATGCTTCCTTAGCAACTTATTTATGAAAGTAAATAGTGTACGTAATACGCAGATACAGATGTGTGATTCATTTTTCCGATCAGCCTACACTAGATTTGGTTATCCTGCTTGCTACAAGAGAAAATTCTGGCATGAAATTGGTGTACCTACTTAACTATGTAAATTAAAAGATTTTGAAGGGTATAGGTGTAAAGATACGAAAGACTTTTTTTGTTTTTTTTTTTGTGAGCGGAAAATCCTCGAATTACTTCTCCCGCCCAGGACCGGGCGGGAGGGAGTGTCAGACTCTTGCTGACTACCCCCTACTACAAAAACCCCTCTGTTCCTTCTCCTGCTCTGGGCCGCCTCATTGCGCTTACCCCGCAACCCCGGCTGAACATCAGCCCTATAGGGACGAAAGACTAATGTAAAGATATCTACAGAATAAAAGATATGTCCATGTCTTTTGTATAATCTCCATAGATTCGGTAGAAGTTTTCTCAGAACTAAGGAACGGAATTCTTTGCCAACTTCTTTGTTTCTCGAAGGGTAGTGGTCTTGATGCTCGAAAATGCATTGCTTACGGGTAGGCATGCTCCATCGTAGGTCGCATCATCCCTTTCCACCAAGCGAGATAGTGGCCAAATACTTATTACAAACGAAAACGGTCCTCCTTCCTACTTTAAAATATTTTTTCGATTATATATCATTTATTTCGGATTCCATACTACTACCGCAAGCAGGAACTAATGACAACCAGACGTTCAATAATAATGCGACTAATAAATTACTTCGCAACTATCCTTCATATGTGATCATTCCTTTGTTATTATTTTTGACTGTGGAAATGCATTAATTGCTTCAGTAGCTTCCAAACGAACTTATATACCTCAAAAGTTAGTTTCAGCCTTTTCTCAATTTTTCTTATAATTTGACATCCTATTAACAAAACATAAAACATTTTTCTCTTTTGTTCACATCATATTAATATCATCTTTTCTTTGTTCTTCTTCTTCAAGTCCATCATTAGCATTAATTGTCGAATGTGCTCTTGAAGTCTTTAGCACACGTACCTACATGACAGTGACCTGCATACAATTCATGAAAGCGATCGAGTCGGTCATCAATCTTTGGACTAAGAAATGTTTTCATGACGACTTGTGA